GCATCACATATGGCGTCTTTTTCAAACTTAAGTTTTGGAATGCCAATTACTAAGTCTTGTGAAACCAATTTGTTCAAAAGGTTCATGTTCATATGAGCTACCCTTCGGTGCCATAACCAAGTGTCTTCCTCTTTACTCATGAGGCACTTAGCAAAGTCGGAAGGAGATTTGTCTAAGTTAACCATATAAATGTTATCGATTCTATCACCACGTAGAATGACCTTATTGTCACTAAGGCGTTCTACCGTGCATGATTTTGAATCGAAAGTCACACGGTTTCCCTTGTCACATAATTGACTTATGCTCAAGAGATTGTGTTTGAGACCTTTAACAAGGAAGACATTATCTATAGAGGAGTTTTCAGATTTACCTACTGAACCAACGCCGATAATTTTTCCCTTCCTATTGTCTCCAAAAACTACGTTTCCTCCTTTAGCGGGTTTGATTTGGAGAAACTTGGATGCATCCCCGGTCATGTGTTTGGAGCATCCACTATCAAGGTACCAAAGTACACTTGATGCCTTCAAGCATACCTATGAAACACATCAATGAGTTTTAGGTACCCAATTTACGTTGGGTCCTCGGGTGTTAGGTGTGTAATGGTAGTGTGATTGATTTTGTGATAGGTGCCTATGCCTAGTGTAACAAACGGGAGCAATATGGCCTATCCTATTACAATAATGGCAAACTACATTGGGGTTGTACATGTGCCTAGGTTCATAATAGTTAGAAGGTTTAACCATTTTGTTCCTATTTTGTGAAAATGATGGTTTCTGGTTTGTCAGCGCTTCTTTTTCCAAAAAAATTGTTTTCTTATTTAAGTATTTCATTTTCTTTTTCCAATTTTTCAAAATCGTTTTCAAGTAAAGAAAGTCGTTTCTTCAGGGATTTATTTGTTTTAGAGGCGCTAATAAATTCCTCATAAAGTTCATGTAGTGCTTCTTGCATTTCTTCAAAAGTGTAAGAGTCGGAAGAAATATTACATACCTTTTGGACGTCGTCGCTTTGATCTTCGTGCGACATGAGGCAGAGATTTGCAGCTTCGTCCTCCTCTTGGTCGGTTGATTCGTCACCGGAATCGCCACCCCAAGAGATGTAGGCCCTTTGCTTCTTGAAGCCAGGCTTATCCTTGTCGTGTTTGGCGTTTGGACACCTTGGCTTGATGTGGCCAATCTCGCCACAGCCGTAGCACTTGGGAGGACCGTCGTGCTTCCTTCCCTTCCGCTCAAATTCCTTCTTCATGAACTTATGGAACTTCTTGATGACGAGCCCGAATTCATTGTCGTCATCGCTTGAAGCCTCTTCCACCGGTTCCTTGGTGGCTTTGAGAGCTATCCCCTTTTTCTTTTGTTCATCCAAAGACGGGGTTAGAATAGTAGATTCATAGGTTTTAAGGTTACCTCTTAGCCCGTCGATGGTGACGTTGGAGACTCCAATGGATTCATAGATTGCATCGGCTTTNAAGAGTAAGAGGCACACCGATTTTACCCTGGTTCACCACAACTTGTGGCTAATCCAGCCTCCCGAGAGACTCTCTCGAGCTACACTACTACCTCGTTAAGCTTAACGGTGCTTAACAAACCCGTACAACTTGAGAATTCGAGTCACACGAACCTCAACGAACCTTCGAAGGAAACAGCCCTTCCTTCGAACAACAAGAGAAATACCTTCTCTTGTCAAGTGTTTAAGAACACTAAAAACACTCAAAAACAATACTCTCTTTTAGAGTGGATAATGAGTAAACTAAGAACGCTCAAGAACACAACACAAGCTTCACAAAAAATGGCTCTCAAAAGCTATGAATAATTGAATAATCATTTGCAATGAAAGAGTAGGAGTTGTGAAGTAATGTGATATGTAAAACAGACCCAAACACCCCATTTTATAGTAGAAAAATAGGCTCTAATGGACCAAAGTATTTAAGGGGTAATTGGCACAATTTGTGGGATTTGATGAAAATTGGATCTGTTGAAATTCACCCAGACAGCGCTGTCCCAAGCTTGGACATCGCTGTTGGTATAAGAACTCGTAAGATTCCTTACTTTATAAATTCGTGAATTGAATCACATACTGAAGATATTTTCTTCTTCCCTCGAAACGAGATTAACCATAGTGCTAAAAACGAACCTGTCATTATCATATCTTGATCGAAGTAAGGAAGTCGAATATGATTAAACAAATATGAGACAAAGCTCGAATGCGAATTGTTACGAAGGCTCATTAACGGTAATGAGAACTATCACGAAGGTGAACGAAGGAATGTTTCAATATGAGATCGATAATGACTGTACAGCGAATAGTACCTCCTCATAATGTATGATAAATCCCATATCTTGGAAATCTTGGACCACAAAAAGCCATCTGATGTTACTTACAAATCATTTCTGAACTATATGAATAATGTGAATATGTCTTGAATGACTTGGATGGTTTCGCTAAAACGTATGGATTGAAACAACCTCGGAATCTCCCACTACATCTATTGTGATTCAAAACTACAAATGCTGCTAAGGGACTTTCAATCAAAGAAAGAATGTTGTTGACTAATGACATACAATCGAGATTTGTGAATGAACGAAATGATGTACAAATATGTTACGTATGCTCCAAAATACGATGTTATACCTTGCAAAGGAACTTAGGTTATGGTTGTTGAATCTGAGCGGGAACCTACGAAATGTTAAACGTTGACCCTTAGAAGAATTTCGAGGACGAAATTCCTTTAAGGGTGGGAGAAATGTAACGCCCCAAAACATACCCTAAAATTTTTGATGAATAAATATTCAATTAGTCAAATTTGTTTTCGATTAAAATAAATAGTTATTAGGCTTTGGGCCGAAATGAAATGTGTTTTGACATCCAATATCACAAATCAGGATAAGTCTCATAAAGATAAATCCAATATGTTGACTAATTGGGTAATCTTGGTTGGGAACCTGAGTAAAGACCCAAATTAAGAATAAATGAAGAAATTGTTTACTTTGAAATGATTTATTGAAATAAATCATGAGAATAAATAATATGAATTGAATATAACACCTTTTATAGTAAAGGTCAAACAAATCAATTTTGACTCTGTCAAAGTCAAATACCCAAAAATATGATATCGGAAAAAGTATAACGAATAAATACAAAACCTATGTCGTTGAATAGAGCTTGACTGTCTGGTCGCAACGGTGCAAACGGATTTCAATTCGGAGAAAGTTGGACCAAAAAGTGTAACCCAACTGGAACCAAAATTGGTCCCAATCAAGGACACTGTGGAGACGGCACCTCCCAGCGCACTAGAAAATTTCCTACGCAGCATCTACTTGGAGAAGTGTCCTCTTCTTCTTCACCATTCTATATAATAAGAACCCAACCCAATCAATTCTTCACCATTCTTCTTCATTTTTCCTTCTAATTATTCCTGATAGTGTGAGGAGTATTGTGGTGCTGCCATTTTAGTGAGAGGTCGCCGGAGTTAGGAGCTTTTGTTGCCGGAAGTTTCGCCGTTCTTTCGCCGGAATCTTCGTTAGGCTTCAAGGTAAGCCCGTAGATATATCTAGTGACTAGAATGTTCATATAGATCGATTTTACGTTCATAAACGTTCATTTGGTTGAGTTTTGTGTTTGACATGTTTGAAGAACTAAGAATCGTAAACCATGATTTTGATGTTAAAACTATGAATTAATTATGCCAAAATGATCTATGAACCTTGGAGAACACTTTTATATACTTTAATTGAAGTTTGGTGAGTAAAAGTGACATTTCCGCAAGTTGGCTCGAGGTAGAAGACGATGGATAATCGATTATCAACTTGAAAATCGATTATTCATCGTTCTGCAGATTTTTGTAACAAAGCTGAGCAACAGTCGATTATTAGAATGTGATAATCGACTGTCAGGCCTCTCTGAAGTTTGATAATCGATTATCAGAGTGTTATAATCGATTATCAGCCCATTCTGAACATCAGACAGTAGAGTATCAGAAGTGACAGTAGACTGTCACCCTACACTATTGAAGAAAATGAAGCTAATAGCTAATAATTGAATTTCCTATCATATATTAATCAATTGTTATTTAGAAAATATGATTTTTGAGTTATGAAATCCTATATTTTGATACCAAACCATTATGATTAATAAAAGGATGATTTCTTGGAATAAAGATGGTATTTTAACAACTAAAAGGGATCTTATGTGATGCATGACGGTAAGCTAGGGTGTTAACACTCGATGCTAGGCCGCTGATTGTTATTAGTTATTATGATGATTGATTGATTGTTCATTTTTATGAATATTATGGATTAATGATGATGAATATTCTGGATGAAATGATTGTTGAACTAAGAGTATGAATTGATGAATAATGTTGTTAAGGATATCTAGAAGAACTTTAAGATATACCTATTAGCTAATTAATGTTAAGACTATCTAGAAGACNTCTAGAATAGATCTTAGAATGAACTTATGAAAACATGAATAGTTGATGAATTAGATATAAATTCATAAACGGGATTCGTAGACCAAACTAGAGGATTACTCGTTGGGAATGCCCGATCCATTGTTGACCAATCGCTATATTGTTGTTGCCTTAACTGACTACAGTTAAGTGTCCGAAATCATTTGCCTTAAACTAATGATAGTTTAAGTGTCTGATTGCCTTAACTGACTACAGTTAAGTGTCCGAAATCAATTGCCTTAAACTAATGATAGTTTAAGTGTCTGATTAATAATTACCTTTTAAGAATGTGATTATGGAAATTATGATTTGGCCTTAGACTAAGAATAGCTAAGAACATTATTATGATCTGGCCTTAGACTAAGAATAGCTAAGAGCGTTGTTATGATCTGGCCTTAGATTAAGAATAATTTAAGAGCGCTATTGAAATAGTATCTGCATTGAATAAAATGTGTTGATATGAACTGAACAATACCAAAACTGTGAATGTCTTAACTGAACATTGTGTGCATGATATCAAATGATTTGATTATGAATTTAGATTCAGTTTATATGGATGTTCGACGCATTAGATATGCTTACTCAGCTTTACCGCTGAGCGTGTAGTGTGTTTTATTTGCTACACGCAGGTACAACAGAAAGAACACTGTGATCCAGGCAGCAGATGGGGCGAGATTGTCGGGATGGATGTGACAAGTTTGAAATGATTTATGATATGTCAAAATTAAATTCGCTTCCGCAATATTGTTGAATACTCCGTACTGTATATGTTATGAAAAATTATTGGGATTATTAAAGTGTGTTTGAAAAGTTTTAAATTTTTACGATTACCAAGTTAATACTTTAGTCCGGAAGGGGCTGCAGACCTGGACGGATTAGGGTGTTACAAGGAATGGGAGGGTTTCCCTTCACTTTGTTTAGTTGATGAAGGTGAAGGAACACACAATCACCATTTGAAAGAGCATTGAGGGTTGCAGGCCCTTATGTGAAGACGGAGGAAAGAGCAACCACTTACGCGAAAATAAAGAAATGAACATCAAAGGTTGTAGGTTGCATCTGAAATTCTAGAGGACAAAGCCTAACAGTATCTCAAAGATAGTAATCCGCGTCTCACCACAAATTGCTATGAAATCGAATAGTTTCTTACAAATTTAGTTGCAAAACATAAAGACAAACAAAGTGAGAAAAATCCAAGAGAATCGGTAAAGAGCTTGCCCAAATCAAAGCTTCGCTATAGCGTGAAGTACTGTGGACAATGAGCTGGAGTAAAGCAAAAGAACGATTACTTCTGATTTGGAAGGATTGAAAATGAGGGGAGGGGAGGGGTTTGGAAGTGAAATTTTGGCTTCCCTCCCTTCCAATTTTTTTAACCAAACAAGGGGAGGGATTCATTTTCCCATCCCCTTCAACTAAACACACCCTAAGAGCTTCTCTCTTATTCTGCCCAAGAGAGGATGACAATCCAAGATAGAGCCCCGAACAATTTAAGGTTTTGTTTTTATTCCATCATGATATTTTTTTGTAGTACTTGCAATGATTTTTGATCAATTATTCCATATAAATATATCAAGTTTTATCATGGGTATACCTAATCTGCTATCGAGATCTGATGAGTCTAAATTTTTGTTATAAGATCAAGAGTCATTGGGTGAACGAGTACAAGCCGAGAACAAATCATTTTTAATGGGTATTGTCTACCGTATTACGGCTCAAACCTGACTCATTGAAAAGCATACTGAGGGTTAGGTTTTATTGCTCGAAACTATGAAGGGTTTTTAATTGCAGCAAAAAGTTTGTGTTGTTGGGAATGACTTGGACCTAGAGAAGCAGAGGCAATCACACCAAAGGAGGCTTTAAGCTCGATCAAGGGCAAAGACTAGAGGCATATCATTGTGGAAACAGACAGCAAAAATGTGCATGATGCACTTCATAATTTTTTCAATACTGATCTTGTTTAATTCTATTTAGATTATTTTAAGTATCTCTGGTGTGTTTGTAACAAAGACCTTAAGTTTCTGTTTACTTTTCACTCTGCCAATGTAGCTACTCATGTATTAGCTTGAGCTACGCATTCCCTTGAGAGCATGGGGGAGTGGATTGACTCGCCTTCAGATGTTCTTATGAAGAGAACCACTGGATTCAAAGGAGGACAACCTCCTTCCGCCAGATGCCAAAGGCACAAGTATAATAATTATAGCTTGTACGGAAAGATGGAATTGCCCACCCCAAGCATCTCCCGTCTCCACACCCCGACCTAGCAACATTGTAGAGGGATAAATTATAGTGACTCAAGTGTTCAACAAAGATTGAACTATAACAAAACTTTTCTGCGTAAAAAAGAGCCCCGCTATCAACATGAATGAAGTTTGTGATAATATGCCTGCAAAACCTAGCCAGAACTGCTCCACATCCAGCCTTAGTGCCAATAGCGATTATATTACAAATTCAAATATCAATCATGATAGTATTGAGTATCTCCGAGGTATGTAATATGTAGAAGAAAGTTTGTTAATAATTACATGAAAAAAACGCATAAAAAATGAACTTGTATTGTTACAACCCAAAACATTGTTTAAAAAATAAAATACACTATGCCAATGCTAAAGCCAAAAAATATACGGAGTAACCAAAAACAGCATGGCACAACGTAGACATTAACACCCCCACACACACTTGCCAACCAAAAGATGTGTGTCAAAAATGTATCCCTATACAACTGATTGAGAACTGAAACTCATTAGTGTAACACCAGTTCTGCCTTACAAGAGACGGCAAACAAAAAATAACGTCTACTCAATATCTAGCACGGGTTTTGCATGCTCGAGGCCCTTGCTTTCAATATATCAAAAGGTTGAAAAGGGCAAGTTCATGCTCGTTAGCCGCCTCTGACGATGGCATGATCGAGCCTTCTTCTCTTCACTTTATTGAAAAAGTGAGCAAGAGGCATTTCATCTTCAATCCCACCCTGTGTTTGCGGAGACATTGTCTGTATTCCACTTCCAATGGATTTTGAAGCACTTGAGCTTGAATTTTCTTTGGTAACTGTGACAGGAGCTGAATGATTCCTCTGAATGAAAGAGTCCTCTAGCAAGGCACCCTCTTCTACTTCAGCCACCACCTTGCTTGAGGGGGCCACATCTTTGCCTTTAAGACTTCTCTCTTTTCCCTGCTTGTGATGTTCATAATGTTTAACATTTCTTGTTTCTGGGATATCATGAACTGAATGTCTCAAAGGTAGCGAGTGACGATGAGATTCTTCTCCCAATCTATCACAATACTCCATGCAAGTATTAGCATCAAAGGACATTGATGAATCATATTTCTCGCCCGGTGGACCATTTTCAATGTTGGTTCCAGATAATTCTTGTAAAGTACCTTCGCCATTATGTGGGCTAGCATTTCCCCGATCTTTTCCACCCCCATCAACATTAAATTTGCCTTTGCTAATATATGATGAAGTAGGTAAGGGATCATGTCCTTGGCCAAGAGATGGATCATTACATTTTTTCCTGGAAGGTTTTTTCCCTTTCTTAGATAACTTAATAGCTTTCTGACCGCATGAAGAAGATGAAGAGTTTTGGTTTGCATCACTGCCATTCCCGAAGTCCACCACCCCAGTTCCCCCCACTGTAGATTTCGTAAATGTAATACCCTCTCCAAATGTTGTCTCAATCTCATCGCTAGCTGAAAGCTCTGGAACATCTTCATGATGTCTGCATTTTCCTTTCTTTCTGGGAGGCAATTTAGAAGTCTTCCTGTTCCTCTTAAAAACACCCAACTCTGGCCCCCCTGATTCATTGTCATTGCTTGACATGCCTGCAGTCAAAGGAGGATGTGTTCCATAGCCGGTGCACATTTTTCTTTTAGGCTTCTGCTTGCTCGTTTTACCCTTATTTATAGTGGTATTATCTCTGCAATTCATTGTTCTTGGAGAATGTGAAGACATTTTCCTGCAAAATTAATGTAATAAAGCAGAATGATATGAAGAAAGCACCTCTTGCCACACAGCTAAACAGTCATAGAGAGTAAGATTTTGCCTTGTTGATATGCGAAGGAATACAGCATATTTCCAGATTTTGTTCAAAACGCCTTATATAATGACATTAACAAAACTACCACTTCATTTTCCACACTCACACAGAAAATATTAAAATAAACATCACATAAAAGAAAGCAACTCAATAAACAAAGTAGGATAGACGTCGGTAAAACAGATGATATCGAAGCTCATTGTTTTCTTGATGATGAAGGAAATCCTTAGAGGTAATGGATGAAACAACAAGGTAGTGATGACCAAAACTTCCATGCCTCAGTCTAATGGATTCAACTGTTTCTAAATGCAATATTTAATATTATGTGATCTTTGAACTTATTATTGTGAAGGTCTTATGACCTCGTTGTTGTCGGATTTGAGTGTGAATTTTGGGGCAGTTTAATGAATATTTTATTATATTGTTTAAACAGTATTTCAGCATTAGTTGTAAACTTGTAATTCTTTAATACATGTACAACTTTGCACCTCAAACTGAGGCTTACACAACATTGATATCAAGTAATCGACCACTGGTTGGTACTCGGCAGGTGATGTCCTCTTTTTTGAGGACAAAAATTATTTTAGAAACTGGACTTTTATGGGATGGAGGGAGCATATTATTACTGTATTTGAGTTTTTAAAATGAATGGATATGAATATTGAATATAATCTTAAGTTCATACTCCCTCTGCCCCAATGTGTTTGTCAAGTTTTCTTTTTAGGGTCATCCCAATGTATCTGTCAACTTTTCATTTATGGCAAAATAATAAATGTTACAATGACTTATTTTCCCTCATATCGACATCAATTATTTAATTGACACCACCCACTACCCATAAAGTAAGGACATTTTTCTGCAATTTGACCTTTATTATCATTTCCTTGGTCCATGTGCCAAAAAAGCAAGTGGACAAACACATTGGGATAGAGGGAGTACAGATATTTTATAGTATCAATAGATTAGTTGTCGATTAGTTGGACGACTAGTCCACTAGTCTCTTTGCTTGCGACTCAATTCAACTTGTGAACATGATAAGCTTGTTGCGCAATATGCAATCCAGCCAAACGAACCTTAACTACGCAATTTCAAACATGGCTCCAATAAAGATATTCATGACTGAGTTAAGACAGTGAGTACTTTATATACTTGTAGATATTCAGCTCAAGAGGGCAGTAGTAGCATACCTTGGTGCGATGTTATATTTTGGTACTATCTTCCGTTTCCCGCAAGTTTCAGATCGAGATACAGTAAGGAGTAATGGTACTTGGGCAAAGTCATTCGGTTTAAGGGAAGGTCGTTCAGTCTCCCTATCCACGAAGTTGGATATGAATGCAGCCTTTTGTATATTTCTAGCTTCTCGCAGCAAAGGAACTTCATGTGGATATAGTACCTTCCATCGCCTAATATATAAAACATTTAAATAAAGGGACTAAGAAGCAGAATTGACAAAGTAACAACTTAAGAGCTCAGTTAGTAGCAATGTAAAGTGGCATTTTACCAGTAAATTCAAGTGGTAAAATGGTTACAACACTTGGTTGCAATTTGGATTTGGTAAAGTATTGGTCAATGAAAAGACTGAAGGCAACTAAAATGAACTTTATTAATATACATTTTACTAGGTAAACTGAAAATTGGGTAAACTGCAAGACCCTCCAACAGGCTCCAAGAGCAAATTGGCCCTACTAAGTGTTCTTTTATACTCCCTCCGTCTTAGAAATATCGTCTCAGTTACTATCTCAATAACTTTTCTTTATTTGTGTGCTTTCATTGATTACTTGTTTTATAGAACTTTTAATATAGTTTTGAAATATGTAATTTGTAGATTTTATTTCTACACCAATTTGTAAATAAAATAGTTTTTAAAAGATATGAGATTTTTCATGTTGTTCGAAGTGGGACAACATTTTTGGGACAGAGAGAGTGTAGCTTTTTTTCAGCTGTGAATCATGACGCCTACCTCCTACACTGACTATCAGTGCGCGGGGCAACACAAGTAGCAACCTTCGACCATGAATATCCATGTTCTTCAATTGCAGCTGCCAACTTCAAATCTTCTTGTTCAGTCCATTCATTTAAATTTAATGAAGGATCTAAGCAGTTGACCCATCTGCAACAAGGAGAAGAATACTCCTAATTTTATGTTAAAAGGCATTTTCACATAATAAATAGAAAAGCTGAGATGCATAGAAAGTACCTTTCCCTACACTGCACATGAGTACGCCCAGGTACATACTCAGCTAGCTTCTTCCAAGATTTTTGCCCAAAAAGCATAACAGCAACTTTCAAGCGTTTATCTTCATCAGCAGTCCATTTCCCAGCCCTCTCCCGAGCAGGGTTAAGAGTTTTAATCCATCTGCATGATTTGATGAATCAATTTCCTTGATTATATTGCTGAAGACACTGATAGCAAAAAAGATAGAGTTTGAAGTAAAGGGTATTGCTATCTGTTGCAAGCCTGCAACTACTTAAAAGCTTCTTTATGACTTTACCCACTTTAATTTGTATCAGATCTTTCCCTTGTGGTGTTGGAGATGAAATAAGCAAGATACATATTTTCATGAAATTAAATATAAAAAAAGAAGAGAGAGAGAGAGAGAGAGAGAGAGAGAGAATTCTACAAAACTTCTGTTTCAGATTTCATTCCACGTCTGATGTTGCCAACTGTAAATATATAAAATATCACCAAACAAGAGTCCTGCAACTGCACTATTTACTCAGTCACTTGTGCCAATATGACTCATGCCTCAAATATACTGTAAGTGACATGTGACTGCCTTCAAGAGATTAGGCAAAAAAACTGTAGATTTCATGAAGGTATTTTCAACCTTCATGGGGCATAAGTCTAGGATTAAACTAATGAACACTATTCTGGCCAAACAAGGATGTCTTAATGACATCATCTTATAGAATAGTTTGATAACCTCAACAAGAATGCATGAGATAAAATAATCACAAAAACTAACTTACCTATTGGAGCACTGGGTACCTGTCCGCTCTACGAGGGTAGCAGCAACAGCCTGCCAATTACTATCTCCAAAAGCTTCCACAGCAGCTCTCAGTTTATTATCTTCCTCCTCAGTCCACTCACTTTTAATAATTGTAGCATTTAAACTCCTTTGATAGCGTGCTAAGCACTGAAATGGAGTCCTATTAGTTCCCAAGGATATTGCAATATCAATCCAGTTACTGAGCCCCTTTTGATGCACAATATTCAGAAGGTTTTTATCCTCCACGTTATTATCCAACCAACGTTCCTGATTGATTAAAGGGTCTTCCCAGCTTAACCATCTGCAAAATGTCAGAAAATAGTTCATCAATTTCTATGACTCAAAGTCTCAAACTGTTAAAAGACATTATATTGGTGTTGTCAAATAGCATTCATGATGGAGCTACAGCAAAAAGCAGTGGGAGAAAATAAGCAGGCTATCAATTCATGCTGATAGGCATCAAGACATTTACGTGGAAGGCCATGGAATCAACCACATGTGTGGAACACATGATGGTCATGACTATGTGGTTGGAAAAAAAGGTCTGGCAACTTGCAACCCAGTCCAGAACCAAACCGAAAAGGTTGATCCTTTAAAGGCTAAAACTAAACGCATTTTGCAGTTTTTTTTGTTTTTGTTTGAAACCTCCATCTCAGTAGTGTTGCTCCCTACACCATTCCCCCCCCCCCCCAACAAAAATGTCACAATGGCAACCATCCTCCTCAGGTGACCACCCTAAGAAATCCTCCAGCGGGAACCTTTTAGTGCCCATTTTTTGTTTTTAATTATTTTCTAACATGTTTTTCTATTTTTCTTTCGTATTCTTATGAACCTTTGGTTTTAAAAAAGCTAAAATTGACAAGACTTAGCTTCACTAGGCTTCAGTTTCAAACTTCAAAGTGAATCAATTTTCACATTTTCCATAGTGTTAGGCCATTCCCACATGTGGTCCCAATTTTGACACTTTCCAGTCAGTGCATATTAATCAATTTGGTACTACATTTCAGGGACTTCAATGTCATTTCCTTTGAGCTGGCTTTAACTCCTGAGGTCAATTGATGTTCATCTGCCTTCACTGATACAGACTTGGGGTGACCATTCTCCCCGCTTAATTTGAAGTTGTAGGCCTTGCTTCTGGAACACGGTGAGGGCATGTGGGCTCACTATAGATTTTTCAGCTCAATTGAAGGAAAAGAGGAAAACAAGCCCCAAATTGGAAGATGGTAGTGGTGAGGATATGGAATGGAAGTGGAAGTGCTAAAAGGAACACAGGACCAGAATGTTATGTGCTTCTGGTTTTCTTGAGTGGCCGATTGGACAAGAAATCTTCTGCAGAAACTGACCTCCTTTGCTTCCCCTCAAAGCTCAAACCAACATCCATTTGATCCTTTTTATCTTTTTGAACTGGAAGTACTTTATTTCATTGCCCAAATCAACAAGTCACAATCTCACAATTCTATGCAGGTCGTTGTTGCTGCATAAATATGTGATGGGTCAACCGGGGACATGTGGATTAATTAGTAGCCCGCCAAATCATCAATTTGGCCATTCAGCCATCAACAATGTTATGATCGAATCAACCAGGAAATATGTTCAGATGTGTTTACCAAACTGACATGATTCACATTCTAAGGACGACTTAAAAAAGTTAGTTTTGGAGATACCCGAATAGGCGAATACTCAGTTGGGAGAAGGTGGCTTTCATGCCATGAAGAAATCTGAATAGTGAAAGACAAAGTATATTCCTCACTTTCTATTACAGATGTTGCTTATATGTGCATATATATGCATACATACATCTATGTGTAGGCATACACGAGTCTTATAAACAAATATTCCTGGAGAATATTATAGATAGCTAAGGCTCTAATTAGACAGCCAAAGAGTACTCCAGATAAATGTAAATGTGTGTTTTCTTTTCAAAACAAATGTCTGCGCAATTTTTATTTATGCATACATTTATATACCTTGTTTGACACTCAGGACCAGTACGTTTGGGAATGTACATTGAAGCCAAAAGATCCCAATTGACCTTGGGTAAAAACAACCTCATCATTTCAGGGGTAATATCAAGGTCCTTTATGGACGAAATATTGTTGTCAATATCAGTCAAATCTCCAGAAGATTCATACATGTCACTGCATAAATAACAAAAAACAAGGACATGGTCACGTTAAATTTTATAATATTGAAAGTGAAAAGCAATCACAAAGAACAACACATATATAGGAAAGAATCTTATTCACAAAACTGGAAATAATCACATTAGATTCAATACAGTCATATAATATCTGCTTCATCATCTAAGTACTCTGAATTTGGGAACTAGCCATCCATAGACAGGAGCTATGTATGTTAATGATGGTGCCCATATGTTCTCTAAATAATCTACAATTGCTAGCATACACACAGGCAAATTGAAGCCTTCCTTATTGATTGGCAAATTGAAATGTGATCACTACCTAATTAGTTAATATGACCACAAAAATACTTATAGGGAATAGATCAGTTCTATAGCTCATAACATACAGCCAAATTCGTAGGAGTTTAGTTGCTTTTCAACAAATAAAAAATAAAACAAAGTTTAATTGTTTTTCACAGATATAAAACTCTTGCTCGATTAAATTCATCTTAAATTGTTAGAAGATCAAACCTTCTTAGATCAATTGAGCGACGAAACATAGTTTCTTGGAATTGTTGTTTCACACCTTTCAAAAGATTCTCCCTTTCTTCCTTTGACCACCGTTCTCGATTCACAGAAATAGGAAACTTCAACAATGCTTCTCTGTAACTAGTAACCACAGAATTCTCAGGTGGTGGATAATACAAAGCAGAACACTTTCTCTCTTTTGACTGAAAGAAAAAAATTTATGATTAGAAAAATTTTAATCAACCCATTTTACTTCATCAAAATTCAGTAGAACGAAAACAAAAAAAATTAGTTGGGAATACCATATCCCCATTTTTGTACATGCAAAAACACTTCAATGATTTTATGTAAATAAATAAATACTCCGGGTATATTTTATATACACACACACACACAACAACAACAACAACAACAACAAACCCCCAACCCCCCTCTCAATTTGCTGTTTTGCTATAATGAAACTAGATACTACATACTGACCTTTGGATTAACCTTTTGTCTTGAAAGAGATATCAACTGGACCCGTGCATCCTTTTTTTGTGCCAAGGCATGACCAGTTCTCTTTCTGCAAGCAGCCTGAAAATCTCTGAAGATTTTAACCCGACCCTTAAGTTTTTTTAATGCTTCAATCTTTGCTTCAATGTGAATCAGTTTGCTTCGAATAGCTTTCTGGAAAGCCCGGTTCTTCTTTATTGCATCCACAAAAGCTTGTGCTGATTGAGGGAAATTAGAGCTTCCAGGTAACAAGCAAGATTCATTTTCTGTTGTACCATTGTTCCACTCAGACAAATCACATGACTGGGGTCTAGCATCAAGATGACTGCCAGCTTCTGTAATACGAAGTGCACTGTTATGTCCATCTACAGAAGTGGGAAACCCTTCCCCATCATTAGTTCTCTCTAGAATGAAATTATAGCAACTTTCCTCTTCTGAGGTTATATTATTAACACCAACCTGCACAGGCTTATGCAACTTCTTATCCAATCCTTCTTTTGCATTATCTGTATTTCAGAGGGCAGGAGGATAGTCATACTCTTTTTGAAAGTAGATACCAGCAAGATGGCATTACAGTACTTAAAGAAATACTCAATTATTTTGGAAAATTAAAAAAAAATATTAAGATTAAGAGCTGTGAAAATTTCTTGAATTTGGTGTATTATGAGAAACCTAGAGGGATGAACAAATTGACATTATCTCCTACCGTCATTATACGAGGCAAATCGTCTCTGAATAGCACGGAGTACTTCCAGATCATCTTCACAGTCACCCCCAGCATCGGATGCAGTGGGGAAAATCGAGCATAAAGCTTCAACATCCAGAGGTACTTGAACCTCCGCCGAAAGCGCAAACCGTTTCTGTATATCAAGAACGAGCTCAATATCGTCCTCTCCTTCATCGGCGTCAGGGGAGGACGGGACACTGGCTTCAGGGGAGGATGGGACACTGGTAGCCGTCGCGGGACGGGCTGAGAAATCACCCTCAGCGTGGTAGGGACTAGTTTCCGTGAATAGGCAGGCCCTTCTTAGGGCTTCCATGTCGGCTTCGAAACCATCGTCGGCGTCGAATTCTTCTTCCCCGTCGGAAGCCATCTCCAGAAGTCCAGAGGCTTTCCGCAATTTCTTCCCCCTTACCGCAATTTTTTTCCCAAATCCAAAAATTTAGGGAGTATATAGAGAAGGTATACCGTACATCCGGATGTAACCTAGAAATAGGTACATCCGGGTAGTATTCATTCTCAAATTAAATAGTACTCATTCTTGTATAAATATAAATATTCATTTCGAAATACGTGATACTCATTCTGAAATAAGATAATACTCATTTTTAAATAAAGAAGTACTCATTTTTATACATTTGTCTAATATAATTATAATAAATAGCATAGTGTTCATTCTTAAAAAAACAATACTCATTCTCAAATAAGAAAATGCTCATCCTGAAATAAAGTATTGTTTAATTTTTTCACAACAGTATCCTCATTATCAGATTCATTCCAATCCCCAAATCTCTTCAACTTCTTCAGTCCCACCCACCATCGTCATCCCTCGTCGCCCTCTCCATCGTTTTCGCCTCCTCCCAATCGTCGCGCCTCGTCGTAGCCTTTCCTTCGCCGGCCTTCTTCGATCATCACCCTCCTCTCTTCCTTCGCGAACTTCATCGATTCTTCGCTCCTGCCGCTTATTTCCGCCGGCTGTACGGTTCTTCCCGTACAGTCGGCTGTACGGTTCTTCCCGTACAGTCGGCTGTACGATATAATTTGCGGAGTATATACTCCGTAATCCGGAGTAGATGTTGACGTTGTTGCACTCCCAAAAAGAAAGAGAAGCACATTATTTACTCTTTTTTAGATAACCATAACTGCAAAAATTGTTGCTAGGTAACAATTTTAAAAGTATTTTCACAATACTTTAAAATATCCGAAAATTTATTACGGAGGGACTATGAAAAATTGTTGTTAGGTACTAGTTTTAAAAGTATACTCTGAATATTTTAAGATATCCAATAACTTACTATGAAGGGACTACGAAAAGACTTTTCGTCCATCCCTCTGTCAAATTTATTGTTCCGTCACTACAAAAATATGCGAAAAGTAAAACCCCTCCCTTTTTAAAATCATTTTATTCCTATACCAAAATAGTTTTTCCCGTGCAATGCTAACTCTACTTCACTATTTTCATTGAACACGTGAGCAGATTCATCCACATTTATATGAGGCATTAATGGAGGTGCAATAGATGCTGAAACAGACATATAAATTCCTGGATACCAAATTGAAGAGCCTCTTGTAGCTGGAAGAGCAAGTTGTCGTTTGCTATGAAAACTAACAATCAAGCTGTCTGGTATGGGGAATTTCACCTCCTGCTCCTTCATTGAACTTGTCCCTTCAATAACAGGTTCAACCAACTCCTTGGAATGGCTAGAGATTATACGTTCTAGGTGGCTGTCTCCAACAATTGGTTCTTGATGCATAAAGATCATTTCACGAGTTATTGGGTTTCTGCTGGTAGGTGGGAGATTTAAGTTCAATCCATGAAGATTCTCAAGGATTGTGTTCCTCACTTGTTCCTCTGTAGGAGCAACAACCTGTATCATAGGAATAGGATAGATTGAAGAGGCAGGCATGTAGAATATGCAAATTGTAAGGAAGATGATGTAAATATTAAATTATTAGATGTTAATAATATTTTAAATGTATGAATTTATATATTGTTCAATATATTGTGTTTTTTGAATTTATATTTATTTGATAATCAACACAAGATAACAAATCTATTAAAAAATTGAGTAAATTCCATAATTGGTCCTTTATAACAGGGGAGTTTCCAAATTTAGTCCTCTATTATCAAATATTACCCCCGTATTCCTTTTGTTAAGGGTGCCTTTCCACAAATGGTCCTTTTTTTATCTTCTGCCATGTTGGTATTAATTTAAAGGCTAAAAGTATAATTTGACATCAACATTATGTCTATTGACGTGTTCTGATATTGGTTAAGCGGATAACACAAAAATAATGACTATGATTGTGGGCTAGGATTCCGACGAAAGACCGTATTTGTAGACTATAGTTGTAGGATAAAGCGACTGTAATTCACAAACGATGGAAACAGAACAGCCTTTGGAATTGTGTAGGACAAAAAAGATATATTATCATTGCGAAATTACACTTTTAACCCTTAAATTAACACCAACATGATAGAAGAAAAAAAGGATTATTTGTGGAAAGATACCCATAAAAGAAGGACCACTCGGATAATATTTGATAATAAATGACTAAATAGGGAAACCCCCCTGTTATAAAGGACCAATTATGGAATTTACTCTAAAAAATTCAACTATCATTCAAACTAATAGTTTGAAAAGTATATGTACAACTACAGAAACCCGTAGTGTTAATAACATTTAGACGATAAAAACAAACAGTTGTTTGAAATACTACAAAGATAGTAGTTCATATTTTTAAAATACAACATGAAATAATAGTTGTCTAAAGTAAATTTCTTCAATAATCTTTAGAGTAGCTGTCTGATAAACAATTCAACTACTGTCATAAAAGATAGTTTGAATACTTCAAGGAAAACTATAAAACATTGTTGTGTTAATAATCAATATACAACTAAAACAAACAGTAGTTTGAATAAGAATAATGTTAGTAGTTCATATTCTAGAAATACAAAAAAGATAACAGTTGTCTAATGCTATTTTTGTTTAGTAGTCTTCGGAGCAGCAGTCTGATATATATATCTTTCAATTATTTTTTAAAGTAGATGTCTATATTGTTGAACGACAACACCAAGAATTAGGAGTCTAAAGTTAAAAACATCACTAGTATTCATTATAAATAGACAACAAAAAAATCAAAGTTCTCTTTAACTCTAAAAAACAGATGTCTTACTCATACAAGGACAACACTAAAAAGTCGTACTCTAAAACATTACAAAACAGGTGTCGTCAACCATTTTACACAATTGTTTTTAAACAATATTCTCTAAATATATCAGACAACTGCTCGGAAGACTACTGAAATCAGCACCATGAGACTACTAAAAGAAACAGTTGTCAGCATCTGTTTTTGACATAGTGGAAAGAAATTAGGTCTGAGAGCTGAAAGTATGTAGGAATTGAGAAACGGGTTGAATGGGTGCGTAACAAAAGTGATAAAATTTGCAAAATAATTTATAAAACTTACTCAATTGTATTAATCTCATTCAACTCTAAATATTTTTAGGAGTAATATTAAATAAAATACACTTAATTTCACTCAATTTTTACCAAATTGTGTTCATTTGAAGTGTAACACTATTTAAATTTATTTTTCATCTTTGCATTTATATACAAAAAAACGTGATAAAAATTTGATATATTAAAACTAAATTTTAAAATCAATTTAAGTTTATTAATTTTATATCATAATTAAATATATATTTTTCATAACCTGTAGTCCAAATTTGTAAAATATGACTAAAACATAAAATAAGAAAGATTATTTAGGGTGAAGATTGTAAAATTAGAAAAAATATAAAATAATATGAGGTGTTAAATGGATGATAGATTGATAAATGTGACAAAACAAAAAGAAGAAGCATGGATTATTAAATTTTAATTAGAAAATAATTTGTATTTAAAATATATTAAATCAAAATATATCCGAACTGAAACATATCCAAAACCAAAATATATATGAACCTAACTAGATCCAAAACCAAAATATATCCAATCTAAATGGTATTCGAATCGAAATCTATCTGAACCGATATATATCTGAACTGTGTCTGAACCGACTCGAAACCAAACCGAAACCAAAAAATGTGCAGACTCGAATCAAATCCGATCTGAAATTAAACCGATCCGAACCAAACCGATTACAACATATCTCAAAAAATATCTGAACCGAAAAAATCCAATCTAGAACCGATCTGATTGACCCGATTTCCACCTCTAGTGATAATATATTAATGTATTGACCCACCATTGGAATACTGCATAGGTCTACAGTAATGTGTTACCAATATTCTCGTGCGACCTTTCTATAGCTATCCTCTAAGTTATAGTCATTACATTTTCTATCATTTGGATCTATATGCCATGATTCATATCTAATGTTATCTGAAATATTACTGGTCCATGTATAATTGTGTTTAGGGCATACAACTATGTATGTGTAGAGACGTGGATGATGTAAACAAAATTTGTCCCTTCTACTCTATAGAAGTATAATGTTAATGGGCCCATTGCATAATATGACTTAAAAAGTGTATAGTCATCCATAGAAATTCTCATGCCTTCTCTTGAATTATGACATTAGGACAAAATAATAATGGTTATCAAATGTCTAGTGTTGTAAAAGGGAGCAAGGGAAGCTACTTTTCCGGACACAACAACATCGACCCCGAGAATACTGTTAAACTTAGAGAGTAATTAGGAGTGTAGTTGATTAACAAAAAGCAGAAGTTTTAAGTAGAAGCGGAAAGAAAAAAGTTCTAGGTTGGCTTAAAAACACTTCTTAAGCCCATTTTAGACTTCAAAAGTCATAATTTATAAGTAGAAGCACATTGACAAACACAACAAACTGCATTTTTAATGAAGCAAAAGCTTAAAAGCAATTTTTAATTAAACGTTACCCCAAACACCTTCTTAGCCTATTACACCTTATCGGGAGTTATGTATTTGGTAATCAAAACAACTCCAAGCTAGCAGAGGATTACCTTAACCAATATATTCAATGCCTACTCATAGTGGTCTGAAGTTTGTGATGATCTGATAGACAATATGAGTAAGGGGGTACTGCATGTGAATGTCATAGAAGGTGATAGAGTCGACTGCCAAACGAAGCACGAACACATCGACCAGAGAAAGCTCAAACACACTTGTCGGAATTGTGGTCGCCTGAGAGACGCTGAGCCGAGCCAGGACAGAAACAAACGACGTGATCAGAGATCGAGAATGCTAGAGAGAAGAGACTCCATGCGAGCCTAGAGTTTTGGTTCCGTTGCCATGTAGAATTTTAGAAGAAACTATTCTGCTTTTGATTAATCACAAACAGGTATAGATACAAGTACATAAATTGGTTGAACAACTTATGCCCAATACGCTACTCTAGAACATATATACAAATACCCGTTAATAGCTTTTGTTATCTCTAATTTTGGGAGATCTCAATATGGAGATTTGATATCTTAATTAAACATTGACCATTCCTCACCACCAACTACGATTGTGACCACCAACAATCCCTTTTGCCGGCTGTTGGCCTTGAATGCCGTACCCCGTAACTGTTTTGATGTGCCAAATAAGTCATCGAAATGTTACTAACATCATTTGCAGGAAAAACAAACGCCAAAACCTCTATTAGCTTGTTTAGCATCACCGAGATATACTCCTACAAGTTTAGAAATTGTTGTGTAAAGGTAATGATATATTCTAATGAGTTACTTATGCCCTTTCACTCAAAATTTAATTTTAAAATGACAAATATATTCTTAGTTGGGGTTATTTTGAAAACGGAACACGAAAAACGAGTTTTGGAATTTTTACACATGCCTAACGGTACCTGGCTACCGTATACACGGCACCAGGGTACCGCCGGTAGCGTAGTGAACGTACCGGGTACGTTTCACTCAGGAGGTACACGGTACCCCCCCTACCGTGAGACGGTACTTGGATACCGTACGGTAGGCTGAACCGGCTGGGTACCCCCGTCTTAACAGGTACCGACAGTAGCGAACCTAACTTTTGGCCTACACGGTACCCCCAAACGGTAGGCTGTACCGTGTGTCACGGTACCTAGGTACCGGACGGTACTGACCCTACCGTGAAGGGTACCGGATCCGTTGGCAGCACTGTACCAAATTGCCAATTTAAATTTAAATCACCCCTAATCACTCCCTAACGGCATTTAACGTTAAAAACTCAAATTTTAACATTCCAAACTCCTATATAAACCCCCTCTAAGTCTCATTTTATGAACAACAACTTCTCAATTAAATCAAAAGCCTCTTTCTCTAATTCTTGAGTGTTCTTAAAGCTTTGTTCTTATTTTTCTTACTCCTTTGAGAAAAAAAAAAGCTTTCATCTTTTTATACACTCACACACAAGGGAATTTGTGCTTCATTATTTTTATATCTTGCCTATAGGCTGTTGTTGTTGATTTAATCTTTTGTTCTTCTCCTACCCAATTCATATTTGTTATTATTTTGGTAGAGAAGCAACACCAATCTTTTATTGATTTGTAAAAGTTGTGGATAGCCTTTAAATCCTCATTGTAAGGTTGAAGATAGCCTTAAAATCTTCGGTTGTAAACGGTTGAGATAGCCGTAGTAAAATTTCGTTTGCTTATTGGCAAGGGTTGTTTGCCAAACCTCGTTTGAGTCTTCTTAGTGAAGCCAAACAAGTTAGTGGAGGTTAAATCCTTGAGGAAGAGCCTCGAGGTACTGGAGTAGGGAGTTCCCGAACCAGTATAAAATCGCTTGTGTCGTATTTTTATATTTTATACTTTTCTTGCTCTTTCTCCGCTACTACTTTGCGCATAAGTTTTTTTTTAAAATTTTTTTTTTGCAAACACCCTAATTCACCCCCCTCTTAGGGTGTAAACCGATTTTCAATTGGTATCGGAGCAGGAAGTTTGATCCTTTCACACTCATCTTTTATCTCTTTTTACGACACATGGATTCAATGAACTCCCAAAGCATTACCAAGCCACCATTCTTCAATGGGGATAACTATGGCTATTGGAAAATGCGAATGGAGAATTTCATTCAATCTATTGACTATGATTTATGGATAGTCACTACTCATGGTCCGTTTGTTCCTATGACAACTGTAGGTGAACACCAAGTTCCTACTCCAATGGACAAACTCACCACCGAAGACAAGAAAAAACTCTCCTTGAATGCCAAAGCATTGAACGTGTTGTTTTGTGCCTTGGGACAAGATGAGTTTGCTAGGGTGAGCTCTTGCAAATCCGCAAAGGAAGCATGGAAGCTCCTAGAAGCCACCCATGAAGGAGATAAAGACACAAAAGCTACCAAGATAGCTTTAGGAACATCCGAGTATGAAAACTTCAAGATGAAGGCCGGAGAATCTGTTCAAGATATGAACAAGCGATTCAACCTCATTGTCAACAATTTGAGTAAGCTAAATAAAGTTTATCCCACTAGTGAGATTAACACCAACATTATATTCTCTCTTCCTAGAGAGTGGCATAGTCTTGTTGTAAATTTGTTGCCCAAATGTGCGGATGTTGAAACCTCCACCATTTGGAGCAGCCTATACTCTCACGAGCTTCTTTTGAAGAAAATGAAGGAAGAAGAA